TATCGGTCCCAAAAAACCCATATCGGTCGGGCTCTAATATATATATATATAATTTTAAAAGTATGTATACTAGTTGTAGACTAGTATTTTTTTCTGCTTTCAATTTCTGCTGATTAAAAAAAATGCATTAGAGTATTGCAAATGACAATCACTGTTGGGAATAAAAGGTAAACTGTCATTCAGTGCATTTTAGTAATGGGATTTATTTGATTTTTTACATTACAGTAATGTGAATTTGACTTGAAAATGTGTTTAATTCTCATGAAAATAATGTCAGTGCAAAAACTAAGAAAGACAACAACTTTATTTTCTGTTTATTTACCCTCATAAAACAGTTATGAAACACAAAGTTAAAAATTCGTCCATTGGAAAAAAGTACATCATTTAAAATATATATATATATATTAGTCGTAGATTAGTATTTTTTGTACTACTTGCAATTAATGCTGATTTTAGTAAAAAAAAAAAAAACATTACAAAATTTGAAAATCCAATGAGAATCACCTTTGATTCTCAAAGGTAAAATGTCATGCAATGCATTTTAGTAATGGGAATTTTTATTTTATTTATTGATTTATTTATTTATTATTTATGTACTTATTTTGCATTGCAGTAATGTGAATTTGACATGAAAATGTATTTAAATCATAAAAAATATTGTCAGTTCAAATATTTTATTAGCCTTTCTAGCTAATAAATTTAGATTTTCTTTCTGCAAATACTTCTTTATTTCCCACCTCATAAAACAGTTATGAAACACAAAGTTAAAGATTCGTCCATTGGAAATTTGAGACATCATAACGTGTCATAAGACCAAGAGCCCACTCTGTGTCTTAAACGCACAACAGCAACAGTACAGTAACTGAATCCTTCTTTCTTTGCCTGTAGCCGGTGTGATGGAGTTGTGTAGAAGTTGTGTTTTGACATGCGATGCTGCAGCAGTAAGCCAGTCGGTGTTTCGTCATTGATCTGGCTTTGAATACTCATTGTGCTGTTTCCGTGGCTCTGAGTTAATAAAAAATGCATGAATGATACATGATCACCCACCTACTGGCCTATTTTTCCAGTTGCTTCTCCTTGGTAGAGGCGTCTTTTTTTAGACATGCAGATATCCCAAGATACCAAGCATTTCAGCTGTGAAAAGTGCATTTTTGTATATATAGCCGTCACTGTGCTGTATCAGTGCAATTTTTAAAATACAAATACAGTACAAATCTGGTGTGAAACTTTTTTGTCTTGGTTTAGATCTTTCCATTTCCAATCAGTTTATGCATTGAAACTTGGCACTGTTTAATTTGGGGTTCCTTAGATCATATTAATGTTCTCGTTTCTGCTTGTTTCTCTCAGTGAAAATAGTCATCCGTGGGGACAGAAACACAGGTAAAAGTGCACTTTGGCACCGACTTCAAGGGAAAAAGTTTCTGGAAGAGTACATCCCCACGCAGGAGATCCAGGTCACCAGCATTCACTGGAACTACAAAAGTGAGTATCAATAGCTGCGAATTGAACTTTGGAATAAAATTGGAATATCGCAAAAAACATTTGCGAATAAGCACCGTCAAAGAGAACAAAATCATCACTTCCTGATAAACTGGCACTAAATATCAGTAGGAGAAGCCACTGAATATAATAATTTTCATATATAATAAATTATAAAGCAGACGAAACACAATAAATGTGGTCATTGCTTTTGGAGCTGGATGCCTGCTGGAGAAATACTGCATTTAAGAATGACCATAACAATATTTCAGATGCTGTGCAACAAGATTGGTCCACTGGTTAGACAGGTTGTGCCGTTCCATATCACAAAGTCACATGACTTTTTTGATGCACATGGAGAAATGTATTCAGCAAATGCGTTTCCATCTCCCATTATTCGCATGAACCCTTTTTCGTACAAGTCTAAAACCACCTCAAGCGAGTGTAAATACTTTTTTGCGAATTAAGGGATTTTATTTCCAAAATTTGGTGTTTCCATCACTCGTTTCTGATGCGATACTTTAAAACAGGGTGAGGGAAGCATTGCTATGGAGTACCTCATGCACTGTATAAATTCATCCTTCATGGTTTAGGTTAGTCATGCACTGAAATTTCGGCGGTCGAAATAGCAATTTTCAGTTTGTCATGAAATAGTTTTGGAGGGCCGAAATCATTGGCTGAAAAACAGTGATGTTCAACTCGGATTGTGCATATGGACTTTGTCAGTGGCTCACAACCTGGATAAACTACAAGTAAGCATGTCAGCTGTATGGACGCTTGTGCTGGATTAACAATATAGATTTTAATCAATACTAATATGGCTTCTTAAATCTCAAGATCAGTCTTTTAGTCAGTGCTGTTTTCGGTTGATGCATGAACTTCACTAAACATTATTGTAGCACTTCTTTTTGCTTTGCGCTTTGTTACTTTTAATATAAAACAAAGTCTCAGATTTCAAAATCTGTCAGTTATCATAAAATGCAAACAATAAATGTTGTTTTGACATGCTTTAATGTAGCGCGACAGATCGATGCATCTGCATCAGTTCAAGCGGCATAATAACTGATCTCTTTATCTGTACTACTAATGAAATAACTCTAGAGAGAAGCATTTTGCTAAATATATGCACTATATTACATATTATATGTTTACTTAACCACTTGTCTTCATTATTTAATATATGTTTTGATAAATCTATTATGTTACGGTATGACAGCCACTATGTAAATGTTTATATTTCAGCATCAAAGTGGAGTAGAAAAATAATTTTGACTTAAATTGCACATACGGCAGTTTTTATGTGTTTGCGCAACTTGTTGATTATTAAATAAATTTAATTAATTGATTATTAAATAAAAAGTATTTTCATTTTCAGTTTTTCAGCTAAATGGAAAAAAAAAATTCAGTAAGAAAAAATTATAATTTTGGTGCAATAATATGAATACAATTATACAAAAAACAGTTTGAAAGTAGGGTTATTTTCGGTGTTTGGCCAAGTGCATCCTGAATTTTCGGTTTTGGCCCAGAATTTTTATTTCTGTGCATCACTAGTTTAAGTCAGTCAGTCTCAACTGATTTTCCTTCAGGACATCAAGATGTGAACTAACACAGAACCAAAAATGTAAACAAATGTTCTTAAAATCAGAATATGGGAAAAATAAGAAAATGTATAATTTTGTAAAAGCATAAACAATAACTGACATGTGATTTACCAGCCAAACACATTTGGGCCAAATTTGGTATTAGATTTCTGTCTAATACATTACCCTGCTGTCTGCAACCCTTTCAGAACAGACCTGCGACTCATTTTCGGGCCTCTGCTGGTTAGGTGGTCTTTTATGAAGGGAAGTGGTTTATTTTCAAAGAACTTGCCAGTAACCTAAAGTCATTTATATAAATAGACTACCCTATTAGAAACGAGAAATATACTAGGTCATCTTTTGTAAAGTATCAGAACCTGTTGACAATATTTCTGACTGTATTCTGTTCTTGCTTTTATTTTTGCACCACAGCAACAGATGATGTAGTGAAAGTTGAAGTCTGGGATGTGGTAGATAAAGGTGAGTCTTTAGAAAGCACTCTAGCACTAATGACACACATACTAGTACTAGTTAGTACAAGTTAGCAAGTGCAGCTATTCAGTATGTGATCCCAAACAAAATTAGAAAGAATCACTTGAAAGATTAAGTCATCTGAATTATTTTTTGTCTGAAAGTATGTTTTCAGCTATATTTAAAGGTAACAGTGCAATGTTATATTTTACTTCTTTTTTTTTTTTGTGGTCTGCAAATACTCAAAGGGCAAAAGCTTCCTCTTCCAGAAGGTGTAGGTGAGAACTAGTAATCTAGTAGTCAAACATTAAACTGTGTGTGTGTGTGTGCTCTTCACCTCTCTTCTTTTACTATAAAACCGTGGTCAGAATAGACGTTACCTTCAGTAGCCTGTGCTATTATTAGACCCTAGTGTGGACTTGCATTAAAATCTGATGGCCACATCTTTTCCACAGTACATTTATTTTAATAGGGGGCGTGTGATATGTTTAATTTATAATGGATTTTTTTATTCATTTTTGAAATTGTCGTCAGAATGATCTTCCATAATGTAAACATTATTTCAAACAGCCCCCTTTTAAAAGTTCATAAATGATGCATGAATTGGAAATTCGGTTGATTTTTCAGCTTGGGGTTTAAATTGTGATTGAACAATAATACTGCTCTTTAACATACCTGAGTTTTCTTTTTACACTCTTTGTGAATTGGTAGTTAATACCTGCAAAAATGTACCATGGTAACCATATTTGTTTTTTAGGAAACGCTATATTGTAAGTGTTGTTAAAAGTAAATTTTTTCCACCATTATCATCAAAAAATAAAAATATGAGAAAGATTGGACATATTACACATATGTCATAATGGACATAAGGAGATCCCATATGAATTTATGATAGTTTATGGTAGTAACAATAACTATAGTAACTATAGGAGTAAAATGTGGTTACCATGAAAATATTTGCACTAGGAGCTGCTGCTGTTGAGATTTGTCTTTTTTAATTTGTACACAAGTAAATATTGAAATAAGATATTGAATACTATCACAATATGGGTTAACGTCATACTGAATAATGTGGTTTCTGGGAACAAGGTGTGAGATGTCTTTCTACCAAAAAAATTCAAAAGTAATGCATCAGACTGCAAGTTTATGTATACCTTAATTTGTTCTCCTTAAAATATTATATTTGAGCTATGTTTAAGTCATGTGTCAAACCTGTAGCGCATGACGATAGCAACGCCAAGGTCATGGGTTCATTTCCCTGGTTATGCATGAACTGATAAAATGTATACCTTAAAGGCAATGTATGTTATAATAGTATAATAGTATTAATACTAATAAGAGTGATATTTTACTTTTGGATTGCTGTTACAAACTAGTTGTTTAAGATATTCAGGTTTCCAGTGGTCTCACTAAAATGTGAAAAAAAATTCAGGGCAAGCTTTGTAAAAGGACTGCAAAATTTTAGTTTGGCTGCTTTGGTGGTACTGAATGGGTAAGCTTATGAATATTACTCTACTCGTATCTCAGACTCACAGTCACTGAAGTACTGCCACACTAATTGTAATATCCGTGTTTCTCCAACTACTGCAGGGAAAGGGAAAAGACGCGGAGAGAATCTGAAATTGGAAAATGAACCTCAGGAGGTATTTGTTAAACAAGGAATATGTGTAGGTAGTTACACTACTGTTGAAAAGTTTGGGGTTGCTAAGTCTCTTCTGCTCACCAAGGCTACATTTATTTAATAAAAAATTTTAATAAAAACAGTAATATTGTGAAATGTTATTACAAATTAAAGTAACTGTTTTCTATGTAAATATATATTTTAAAAAGTAATTTATTCCTGTGATGCAAAGCTGAATTTTCAGCATCATTACTCCAGTCTTCAGTGTCACATGATCCTTCAGAAATCATTCTAATATGCTGATTTGCTGCTTAAAAAACATTTCTTATAATCATTAATGTTGAAAACAGTTGTGCTGCTTCATATTTTTGTTGAAAGCATGCTACTTTTTTTTCTGGAGTCTTTGATGAATAGAAAGTTCAAAATAATTAATTCTTTCTTTCTGAATAAAAGTGTTAATTTAAAAAAAGAAAAAACTTACTGACCACAAACTTTTGATCTGTAGTAGTGTAAGTCTACTTGACAATTACCATGTGATTAATACTTCAAAGTTTTGTTTTGGCATTTGATTTAGTAATAATCATTTGGCATCTTCAAATATCTCATTATGTTATCTGTCAGCTGCTTGCAAGCTGACTTTAATGTTGTTCATTCAGCTGGAAACAAGATTTAATTTTTGTAATCTTGGCGTTGTTTTGCTCTCTGTGCAGTCGGAAACTGAGATGGCTCTCGACGCAGAGTTCCTGGATGTTTATAAGAACTGTAACGGCGTGATCATGATGTTCGACATCACTAAACAGTGGTAAGGAATCTGCCTTTCCTTCCGTTTTTCCCCACATTCACTCTGTCTAAACCCCTCATTCATTCTCCATCTCCTTCTCCTGTCCCTCCATCACTCCATTCCCACCCTGTCGTCCCTCTTTCTGATTAGTGGTCAGGATCAGATGCCAGAAAAGGGCGTTGGGTTGCAGCGGGTCATTGAGCGTCTCAGTAGAGTCGAGGAACAAAGAAAGCAATGAAACCAAAACCTGCAGCCCAGTGTCTCTTAAAGGTTCTAACTCTGTTTATCTCTCTGCTCATTTGATCTGCCTTGCATTCTGTCAATGGGTGTTTACTTTTTGACCCTTGTTTGCAAACTGGGCTCTGCTTTATTGGTAGGGCTGAGTATTTGCTTTAACAACTGCTTTTGTGCTCTTGGGAACCTTGTAGTCACCTACATGTACATTTTTGGTGTTTAGACCAAATTTAATCAGTGCCCCATTATTTGTGCATTTGCTTAACAAAAATGATCTAACAATGAAAGATATTCTAGTTGTGATGAATTACTAGCTATCTTAAAAGGATAGTTCACCCAAAAATGAAAATTCTGTTATTATTTACTCACCCTCATGTTGTTCCAAACTTGTATGAATTTCTTCCTTCTGTTGAGCACAAAAGAAAATATTTTGAAGAATGTTAGTAACCAAACGGTTGACGGTAGCCATTGACTTCCATAGTATTTTTTGCCATACTATGGAAGTCAGTAGCTAACTGTTAGGTTAACAGTCTTCAGAATATATTCTTTTGTGCTCAACAGAAGTAAGAAATTCATACAAGTAAATCATTTTCATTTTTAGATGAACTGTCCCTTTAATTTGGTTCTTCAAAAACATTTGCAAATTTGATTGGAATAACTAGATTGAGTTGTTGAAATAATTGTTCATTCCTGTGTTGATGGGAAAGAGCTCATTCTTTATTATTCTTTATTTAAGTTATCAAAACTATAAAAGATCACAGTTAGAGAATTATTGAAATTATGTAGTGAACTATACCATAATTGATAGAGAAATTAAATGTTTATTAAATAAAAAATGTAATATTTTTATTTACCTTTCAGAAGTAAGAAATTCATACAAGTAAATCATTTTCATTTTTAGATGAACTGTCCCTTTAATTTGGTTCTTCAAAAACATTTGCAAATTTGATTGGAATAACTAGATTGAGTTGTTGAAATAATTGTTCATTCCTGTGTTGATGGGAAAGAGCTCATTCTTTATTATTCTTTATTTAAGTTATCAAAACTATAAAAGATCACAGTTAGTTAGAGAATGAAATTATGTAGTGAACTATACCATAATTGATAGAGAAATTAAATGTTTATTACATAAAAAATGTAATATTTTTATTTACCTTTATTTTTTATTTCTTTAATATATATTAGAATTTTATTATATTAATATATAAATAAGATACAAATTCATCATACTAGCAGAAAAAGGATATTTTCAGTTTTAAAAGGCTCTAAAGAATTTCTGAACCGTGAAAGAGCAAAAATAATCACCAGCGTAGAGCATCATTTCTCAAGGGCCTGCAGACAGCACTATTTACCATGTTTACTCTGCATCTCCTGCGCTGTAGAAAGTGCCACTTGGCCACTGTAAGTTGTGTATGTGCGGCTCCAACAAATGTTTGAGGTGAAGTATTCCCTCAAGACTAAAGTGGCACAACTTTGTCTTTTAGAAAAATGTTGGCCAATGCTGAATGTTAGCTTTTATTTTGCCTGCTCAACAAGGTGCTCTCATAAGAACAGCTGAAGCATTTGCACTTATAAAGCCACATTTGAATTCTGTTTATGTTAAATAAACCTGATTCTGGGCAGATCTGAGCATTCAGATGTGGAAACCGAATTAAGCTTTGAAGAATGGAACAATATAGGATCAAATTGTCAAAAAAAATTCAGCTACCTCAATGATCCATGTATGAAAAATGGGGCTCAGCTCACTAAATGTATGTTGTCTGGGATCTTGGTTTACTCAGTCTTGTTTTTTTCTGGTCAAAATCTTTTGCCAGATAATGGAAGAATTACTTTATTATTTTTCAGCTTGTTTTGTAATGCTGCTGTCAGTAGGGCTGGGTATCGTTCAAAAATTTTCGATATCGATACCGATACCTTGACTTCGATACCGGTTCCTGAACGATACTTTTTTCGATACCAATTTTATGAAATCAATTTTAACAAGATTACATTATCTAAAAAATAAAAAAAAAATTGTTTTATTTTTCAGCTTGTTGATATTTATACAAACTCAAAAACTAATCTCCTGAGCCACTGCACAAAGGAACAAAATGTAACCAACACAATAAATCAGTGCAAAATAGTTTTAATAAAGCTCAAATAGTCTTCAGTTTACACGGTCGGTGCCTAAAAAGTATCGAACTCGATACCCAGCCCTAGCTGTCAGGCCAGTATAGATGAACAAACAAGAAGACATATTTAGTGCTTTGCTATTTAATGCTGCTTGCTGCATTTCTACTATGTGTCTTGCCAACATATATGTGGGTGGTATGAAGTCTAGGAGTGCTGGCCAATAATGCAAATAAGATGATTTGATGAATCAGTTCAAACATATCCCAAACGACACTAAATGTTAAAACTCATATATTTAGATATATATCTATATCTAAAAGATAATGTATGAAATTGATGTGTCCAGGTCACAACATCTAACTACTGGGGTGCCTCAGGGCTCAGTTCTTGGACCACTTCTCTTCTCTGTCTGCATGGCATCACTAGGTTCTGTCATTCAGAAACATGGCTTTTCATATCACTGCTATGCTGATGACACTCAACTCTACCTCTCATTCCATCCTGATGATCCGACAATAGCTGCTTGCATCTCAGCTCCACCACTGGCTCTGCACCCATTTACCTAAATTCATTACTTCAGAGTTATGTGCCTCTAGAAGCTTGCGTTCTGCAAGTGAACAGCACTTTATTGTACCATGCCAAAGAGGCACAAAATCACTTTCACTGACATTTAAATTAACTGTTCCCTCCTGGTGGAATGACCTGCCCAACTCAGTCCGAGCAGCTGAGTCCTTAGCCATCTTCTAGAATCGGCTAAAAACACATCTCTTCCATCTTTATTTGACCTTCTAACTCTAGCACTCTCTATTCTAATTATATTCTTTAAAATAAACTTGCCCCTTTTAGACTTGCACTCTATTTATTTACTAACTGCTTGTTTTTCTTTAGAAAAAAAAACTAACACTTGCTTCTCTAATCTTTTTGCATTCTATCTTTTTGTTTTCTTTTTATTTATTATACAATTATAATTCTAACTGTCTGACTTCTGATTAACAAAAGCAAAAAAGTCCTCTAACACTAGCTTGCTCTATTCTTTTTCTATTCTATCTGTTTTCTTTTTATTTATTATATGATTAAAAAAAAAAACCTTGCTACGTGTACTGCATTAAGCTAACTGAGACTTGTTATAGCACTTGCATATCATTGCTCTTTTGTTGATTTTGATTGCTTCCATTGTCCTCATTTGTAAGTTCCTTTGGATAAAAGCGTCTGCTAAATGTCTGAATGTAAATGTAAATTGTGCATTACACAAGGAAATCACGGTTACACTTTATTTTAAGGTGTCTTTTGTTTATAGTGTAATTATACATTTAAGTACTGAGTTATATCAATTAACTACATGTACTTACTATATAATTAGTGTTAGGATTTGGGTTTGGCTTAGGTTTACTTACATGTAATTGTGCATAATTAATTGTTATTATAATAGTAAGTACATGTAACGTGTAACAAGGACTCCTTAAAATTAAGTGTTACCGAAATCACGTCAAAGTATGTTTCATATGAATCACAGACTCTGTCTTTGCTGCAGGACGTTCAACTACATCCTTAGGGAGTTGCCAAAAGTGCCGACACACATCCCAGTGTGTGTCCTGGGTAACCAGCGGGACATGGGCGAGCACAGGGTCATCTTACCCGACGACATCAGAGACTTCATCAACAGTCTTAACAGGTGGGCAGTTCAAGATTAACCCTCAAAACCAGGGCCTTACGGCCCCTCTTAGTCCAGCTCCATGTTTGAAGTAGGGCCCTGTGAAATATTTTTAACATTTTTCCCAAATTCCGGGAATTTTTTTTCCCCAGTTTTAATAGTTAAATAAAATGCTAGTAATCAAAAAGCATGTCTAATTAATTGAAATCATGAAATGCATACAATTTAACAGCGTTTTATTAAAAGTTTTAAAAAATTGAATTTTTAGGGCCCTATGGAATCTATTTTGTTTTTGTTTTTTTCCCCAAATTCTGTGTTTTCCATTTAAATTTTCTGGATTTTTTTATTATATATATTTTTCTCTTTTAATGGTTTAATTAAATTGTAAAAAAAAAAAAATCAAAAAGCATGTCTAATATTTTGAAATCATAAAACCTTAACAAATGATTCATTTATAAAAAAATGTACAATAATTGTATGTTGTCTGTTTTATTATCATAATCAGCGGTAATCAAATAAAGGCATAAAACATTAACAATTTAATTGATCTTTTAATATGTAATCAAATTAAAATTTAACAGTTCCTTTTATTTTTTGGCAAAGAAAGCACTGCACAACAAAGGTTTACTGTTAAATTAAAACATTGAAGAAAAAATGATATAATAAAGTGAATAAAGTTTTAATATTTTTTATTAATATTATTACTTTGAGAAGTACATTTACTGTACAGTAGTAATGTATTTCTGTCACAGTTTCTTCAAGTTAAACTTTTATTTTAATGGGTTGTTGTGAAGACTTTGAGTTTCAAACAGGTAGTCCTGCCTCAAACTCGTGGAGCCAGAAGTTTATATGTCAGATGGCTAAAAAAGTATCAGAGTTTCCCTTTCATGGGAACTTCGAACTGCGTCCTCTAGGGGTCGCTATGGGGAACGCCTCGTCGTGACCCGTGTCTGAAGCATACATTGAAAAAACACCAACTCGTTGGCCGGCGACAGCCATGAAGTCACTACCGGTGCGACTATGGTATAAATAGGTGCCGGGAGCACACATCATTCTCTTCTTCGTCTTCACTGACCGGTCTGTTTGAAGCGTGCATTCCAAAAAGCAAAGTAAGAGCTTTTTCTTTCCTACTATGGCGAGCACTAGCGAAGCGTTTAGAAAGTGTGTACATCCGTG